AAAAATTACCTATATATTCCCACCCCATATTTGCTTCTAGTTTTTTTTTTTTAAGAAACAAAACATAAAGCTAATGTCCCTTTATCTACTACCCAAGTCCCACAGACAACTAATGAATTTGATGCACATCCTCCCTGTTATTTTAAAGATTTTATTTATTTATTTATTTATTTGAGAGAGAGAGAACACAATGGGGGGTGGTGAGGGGCAGAGGGAGAGCAAGAGGGACAAGCTGACTTCCTGCTGAGTACGGAGGCCAACGCATGGGACTCAATCCCCAGACCCCAAGATCGTGACCTGAGCCAAAGTCAGACACTAAGCCACCCAGGCGCCCCCTCCCTGTTATTTTAAAATAGTTCAGTGTACCTATAGGTACATTCAGTATTTGATATTGTTTGGGATTTTTCTTAATTTAAGTAAATGGTATCATAGGATTCATACTGTTCTGCATCTTGCTTTTTATCACCAAACATATTTTTGAAATCTATCCATGTTGATATGTATATAAGAGCTAGTTCATTCCTTTGAACTGCTGCATAGTATTCCACCATATGAACCTTTTATACCACATTTTATATGTCCTTTTCTCTAGGGATGGTCATTTAGGTTATTCCCCCTGCCTTTTTTTTTTAATTGCAAACAATCATGCCTTGATAAAACAACAACAACAAAAACTCTGTATGTGTCTCTTTGTACATCTGTGCCCCAGATTCTCTAAGGAATTTCCCCAGAAGTTGAACGTGCTTGACTGCTAAGAAGAGAACAGGAGTGGCCACACCTGGGATCCACATCCCCCTATGGTGCCTCTTCCTGCATGACCTTGGAAAAGTCATTTCATCTCTCTGAATCTGTTTTCTGTGTGATAATCCCTAACTCAGTGGGTTGTTGTGAGAGAATTAAGTGAGACCATCTTGAAAAAGCCGCTGGAATAGTGTAAATGGTAGGGGCCGCGTAGCTCTCATCGTTCTTGTTACAGATTCTTCTAGCAACCAAAGAAAAATCAAAAGGCAATGCCCAACCCTTTGCACAAGGGAGCCTTGTGCCCAGCAAAACAATGCCTCAGGGGCTGGCCCAACCCACCTTACCATATGCTGTCAACTCTATCCCTGGGCCTGGCCTGGGGTCAGCTTGCTCGGGAAGTGAGCAAGCGTACCTCTCAGCATCTCAGTTTCCTTGCCTGTAAAATAGCGTAACACCTGCCTCAAAGGGCTGGTGTGAGGCTTAAAGGCTAGCTAATAAATGGAGGGCAGAGTTATACCGTGCCCTCTCCTGTTCATCCACGATCCTCTCTCCTTCAAAGCTGCAAGATGACGCAAGCTCTCATCTGGACAGGCAGGACTGGCAGGACTTCAGAGCTGGACTGTCCCTGGTTTGACTTTTGTTTCACAGCTCTTGCATTTTACCTTGCGGATGCTTGTGAGTCAACACGCGGAAGGTTTGCGGGGTCCCCGTATTTGTCTTTCTCTCGGGAAATTGGTGTCCAGGAAAGGCTGGGTGGTTGAAATTTGCTAAAATATCTCCATCTAGTGGGCTCGCTGAAATACTGCAGAGTTCGGCGCTGTCTGGGAAAAACAATGGGGCGACAGCTGGGGCCGCCCTGCCCTGCTCAGAAACGCCGGTGGCTCCCCATTGTCTGCGGGGTAAAGTCCAAATGCCAAGCCTGGAATTCGAGCGCCGGCACAGTCGGGCCCCGCCCTGCCTATCGGACCTTATCGTTGGCGGCGACCTCCCGCCCAGCCAGGCCCAGCTCCTCCCCGCCAGAACCTCAAACCCACACCTGCCTGGTACACGGGCCTGCCCTGTGCCCCAGCCCACTGTCTCCCTCCTCCTCGCCACTCTCCCGAAGCTAAACTTCCTTCCAGGCTCAGCTCAAAGGCCACCTCTTCCCGGAAGACCCTTCAACCCATCCTGACCTGACACCAACACTTGCTGTTAGTTATTTTTGTATTTCCATATTTAAAGCTGTGTTTTGTCAATGCACTGCCCTCCCGTGTCCAACATGATTGATTTAAATGATCGCCAGCCCTGCAGTCCTGTGGATCTGGATCCTTATCTGGCCTCCACTACTTCCCAGCTCTGAGAAGTTGGAGAAGAGAGGGAACTCAAAGGTGAAATAGAGGTGGGAGCACTTACGTCACAGGGCTGTGGTGAGAATTAAATAAAACTGGATGCAAAATGGCCAGCACATAAAAACAACCAATAAATCATCGGTAGATTGGTCCAATTACATATAGGACACGTAATTGAACTTGAATTTCAGATAAGTGATTTTATATCCCAAATATCCCAAATATTACATGGGGGTTCTGTGTAACATTTCACAGATAAATGATGTTAAGGATTATTGTTCATTTTGTTAGATGTGCTAATGATATTGGGGAGATATATATATGTATATATATATATACGCACACACACACAAATTGGCAGATTCTGCATTTGCAAATGCACCTACTAGCTAACATTTATTTGTCATGCCAAAATCAATATTCACAGCACTTATTCATTCACAGACATGCACATGCATAGAGTGGAGAAAAATTCGAGTCTCCCAGTACGCAAGTTCCCAGCTAAAGTCAACAGTCAACATACTCTTCCTATCCCAGGTCTCATACTATATAAACAAGTTTGCTTTTGGCGATTTCCTTAGTACCAAATTTTCCTCATTTTTGTGCTTTCTGTTGATTTCACTGCTTAAAATGGACACCAAGCAGAGTGAAGTGCTGTCTAGTGTTCCTAAGCCAACAAGGCTGTGATGTGACTTACAGAGAAAATACCTGTGTTAGATAAGCTTCGTTCAGGCATGAGTTACATTGCTATTGGCCGTGAGTTCAATGTTAATGAATCAACAGTAGATATTAAATACAGTGTCTTTAAACAGAAAGTAAGGTTATGTACTGATCAGTTGATAAAAATATTGTGGCCCGAGTCTGGCAGGAACCTAACCCTGTATTTCCCCATGAGCAATGGTTCAGTATTCACTGATTTGGTGTTCATGATGACTCTATAGAACTACTGGGAATAATGAGAATCAACTACATATCATATCATATACATGTATATATAAACATCAAATGTGCATATGCTATGAAAATATATAATATGCAATAAAATTTAAATATATATCAGAGATACATACTGAAATATTATGAGTGAAACTAAACAATGTCTAGAATTGTTTTAAAATATTCCAGAAGAGAGATAAAGGTATATATATGGAGAGTATAAAAGAAACAAGATAGCAAAGGTTGAAGATTGTGGAAGTGATGATTTATTAGAATATTCTCTCTACTTTTGTGTTTGAAAATGACCATAACAAAAGGTTTAAAAAAACAGATTGAGGAGAAAATCTTGGGGGAAGAATCTCTTACCCAGTAGCTTTCACTCCAGACACTGTGGAGACAGGGCTCCCAATGATGCCACCTGAGATCTCATTATGGATGAATCCCAAGCCCTTGAACGCAGAGTACCAGGCTGAGAGGTTCAGGAGACTTGGCTGTAGTCTCGGCCCCACCTCAGACTTGCTCTGCTACCTCTGGCAACTCACAGTGCCTCTGAACCTTTTTTCTTACCTGTTAAATAAGGAAATTGAATTGGACAACTTCTGGGTTCCCCTTCATTGTTAAAACCCTCTCATTCTAAAACCAGTATTTCCTAAATTGCTATGTTCTGGTATAATATTACAGCCTCCGGCGGGCTCTCTCTTCCCTGCCCCCATTCGTCCTGATGCCACTATTCTGTGAACCTTGCTGAAGTTCTCTTTTTTTTGCAACACTCTAACCAGGAAGCTATTCTAATTTTGATTTCTCTAAATCAAAGTCGAAACTCAAAGCCGAGCAGTTAAGGCCTGTGCAGGCAGACCATCCACTGAAGCCCTCTGGCTAAGAAGGACCAGGAAACAGGAACAACACAGGGTGCACCAGACGATTGCAGAAACAGAGGAAAGTCACCCAAGCCAGTCGAGGGAGGCAAGAGGAAGTCTCCTGGAGGAAGATGTAGGAGCTGAGGCCCCAGGGAGGAGGGGGGGCAGGAATTACAGCTGCAAACAGAAGGGAGAAGGATGTTCCAGGCCAAGGCAAGTGTGTGTGAAGCCCCGGAGACAAGAGAAGTTTGGAAAAGGGTCGGATTTCGAAGCCCAGCACACCAGCCCCATGAGTCCCTCGGGCATTATTTGCCACCCCTTCCTGTCACCACCTTCCCCACCGGCCCAGCATGTGTGGTATGTGTGCTGGGGACCCTGGGGCTCATATCTGGAAAAGTATATTTGGGACTCCCTACTAGACCTCCTTTAAAATAACCAGGTCAGGATTAACTTTTACACTTCCCCCACACCTTTTTGTTTTGCTCATCCGGCATAATTCTAACGACCCACTTTTCAATAGAGGAAACTGAGGCTCAAAATTCACTCAAGACCACCCAGCCGGGGAGGGGGACGGCGGGGATTCAAATGCAGTTCTGACTCCTGGCTATTTTGCCCTTCGTAATGCACAGGGCAGCCAGGGCACACAGGGGCTTTTAGTCAGGTGTCTGCGAGAGGGCGCTTCCTTACAGGTTCCGGGCATGCTGCAGCTTATACATCTACACTGAGAAAGCTGAGGTCAGCGTCAGGACTAAGCTTACAGACCCATTTTTTTCAGGACGAGGTCATACAATAAAATCTGGTCGCCTCAACTCTCCCACCCCCGCCCCGGGACAGACTCCAAGTCTTCATGCCTGGGTTAGAGTCTCGTTTCCACTACCTCCTAGCTATGTGACATCCGACAAGTAACTTAGGATCTCATATGTACAATGAATCTTGTGAGGATTAAACGAAAGTGGCATCTGTGCAGGAGGCTGTCCGTACAACTACGGGGAGGGCAGAAAGGAGAACTCGCTTACACCCGGTTCAGGGCCAGCAGTAGACACAGAAAACGCAACTTCAGGCCCTGCGCAGGCGCTCTCCGCAAAGACCCGGCAGGCGCTCCCGAGAACTCTGCGGCTGCGCATTCGCCCGGCTTTGCGGCCGCACTGCTTGACGGCGGCAGTGACCGCCCTCCGGCCGGCGTTGCCGGGGTAACGACAAGCGCGTGAGGCTGAGGAAGGTAAGGCGCCGGGGCGGGCAGTGCGAGGCGTCCCGTGGCGCTGAGCGTGGTGGCCGCGTGTCGCGGTGCGAGAGGAGACATCGCCTTCTCCGAAAGCTCTCAGGAGCGGGAGCAGAAAGGGCGTAGAGACTTTACCCCGGTTGCACAGCCACCCCAGAGTAGGCCGGGCAGGGGGAGCCAGGCTTCCTGGTTCCGCCGGAATTTGCTCCTCTCCCTTTCTCCGAGCATCTGTAGCCCTTTGCACTTCTCTTCGTTCTTTCCGAACAGGATGCCACGTTCTGTGCTGGGGGCTGGGGACGTCGATGTGTACCGGATACCGTCTCTGCCCGAGGGGAGCCTCAGCCGCTAGTGCGGTTGTTTCGGTGCGGGGGGGCACTCAAGGAAATCCACAGAGGGATGAGTTAAGACAGGGAGTTATGAATTTGGTGGGCCCTTAACACTTTCTGGCTTGTGTGCAATCATTTATTGCAGTTGCAGCCCCCGTCTGGCTAGCATTTTGCACATGACAGGCCCAGTACGAGGCTCCTTCGCCTTCGCAGTTACCCACTTAATCCTCACAAACAGCCTTCAAAGGGTTATCGTTTGTTTATGTGGCCTGTGTCAGGTTCTAACTTGAAAGCTCCCCTGGGGCTGGATTGTTTGCCTTGTCCCTTTCATCCTTGCCTCCCTAAGCCCAGGAGGTACACCGCTGGAGCTTCAAACATTTTTTAATTGGGAGAAGGCGAGCTTTACTGGGTGGGAGGTTTTAACCAGATTTTGGCAAGGTGTTTCCAGGGGGTTGGAAAATTAAATGGAGTTACCTTCCTCATTTTTGTTTTGCTTTGTTTCGTTTGGAATAAACATTTACTGAATACCTAAACAGTGTTAGCTTGTCTGCTCAAGGGAAGAATAAGGAACAAGCGCTGCTTTTGATAGTAAAGTAAATGTACTTAATGCTCCTTGTGTCTGGAGTCAAGTATGCCCTGGTTTGGGAAAGGAAAAGCAACAATCCCTTACAGGTGCATAGCACTCAGTCCCTCTGAGTCCCTTTCCTGCTCTGAACAATGGGAACAGTAACAGTACTTACTTAGGGAGCTGTTGGGATTAAGTGAGTTTGAATAGTCTATCCTGTCACCAGTGGTTGGCAACTTTGGTTACATGTTGAAATCACCTGGGTCCCACCCCAGAATTTCTGATGTAATTGCAGGTAAGTTCTGAGAATTAGGAGTTTTAAGATTTCCCCAGGTGATTGTAAGGGCAACCAAGCTTGAGAGCCACTGTTGCATACCACCCCAAGTTAATTAATCTCTTTTCAGTTCTCATTCCCTGCTTAAGCGTCTGCACTGACTCCAAGTCTAAACCAGCCTTCATATTCCAAACCCCTTGACAATTGGCCCAGTCATTCCTATACATATGTGTGTGCTTCAGACATCGGTCCTCTTTAAGGCCAGTCTTCTTACAGTGCTATGTCTTCATGCAGTGGGGCTTTGGGCAAATGACTGGCCCTCTCTAGGCCTCAGTTTCCTTGTCTTTGGAAGAGGATAGTAGTACCCGTGTGTGTAGCATATGGTACAGTCCATGCCTGGAGTGTTGTACCTACCGATGATGATTACCTCTTTGAATTTTATTCACATTCCACATCTTATGTTATGCTGTTCTCCTATCATGGCACTAAAGAAACACATCTTAAATGCCTGTTAACAGATGTGGAGAACAGTGAATTCGGTCCTGTCTCCCCTGCTTTGCCTTTCAAGTTCAGCACAAGACAACTCCTTCAAAAAACCATGAAACTAGAGATCATTTGGTTTGTCCTATTGAATTTTTTAAATAACAGCTTTATTGAGAGACCACTCACATACCGTAAAACTCACCCTTGTAGGGCGCCTGGGTGGCTCAGTCGTTAAGCGTCTGCCTCTGGCTCGGGTCATGATCCCAGGGTCCTGGGATCGAGCCCCACATCGGGCTCCCTGCTCGGCGGGAAGCCTGCTTCTCCCTCCCCCACTCCCCCTGCTTGTGTTCCCTCTCTCGCTGTCTCTCTCTCTCTGTCAAATAAATAAATAAAATCTTAAAAAAAACAAAAAAACAACTCACCCTTGTAAAACGTACAATTCGGTGATTTTAGTATATTCACAGTTGGGCAGCCATCAGCACCACTGCAATCCAGTTTTAAAACATTTTCATCACCCTCAAAATTAATCTGTACCTATTAGCAGTCGCTCTCCATTTCTCCCTTCCCTCAGCACCTGGCGATCACTAATCCACTTTGTGTCTGTATGCATTTGCTGTTGTGGACATTTCATATTAATGGTCTTATAAAATATGTGGTCTTTTGTGACTGCTTTCACTTAGGGTAATGCTTTCAAGCTTCATACACACTGTAGCATGTATCAGCACTTCGTTCCTTTATTGCTGGTAATCCATTATTTATGGATACACCACATTTTGTTAATCCATTCATCTGTTGATGGACATTTGGGTTGTTACCACTTTTTTTTTTTTTTGGCTATTATGAATCACTGTAAACATTCAGGTATAGATTTTTGCATGAACATGTTTTTAATTTTTTTATATCTGTACCAAGAAATGGAATTGCTGGGTCATATGGGTATTCTGTGTTTAACAATTGAGCGACTTCCAAACTCTTTTCCAGTCCTGTTCAATTTGAAGATGAAGAAACAGGGCTCAGAGAGCTTATGTGGGTTGTGCATGGTCACATAATAATAACAGCGGGTTTGCATATGTAGGAGGTCCATGAGCCAGATTCTTGAAGCCTTTTCTGCCACATGGGCAGAGGTAACACTAGATCACAGACTTGGAGGTTTTGTGGAAAACAGGGAATGTTTTGTGGCAGGAACCTTTTTGTCACACACACTTGCGTTGGAGTACAGAGTGCCTTCAAGTGTCCTAGCTCATTCTTGCTTTTTTTTTAAAAGAGTATAGCAGTAATCTGAGGGAAAATTCCAAACCAGGCAAATTAAAATATAACTTCAGTGTCACTTGTTCGAGAGAATTTAATTGGAAGTTCTTGAAGTTAGCCATTTAACATTTTCTCTTTTTTAAAAAATTCCAAATGTTAGCATATACAAGTTAAATACTAACCAGAAGTTAAGTTATAAAAGTGAAAAATCTCATTAAAGTCCAACTTTTTCCAGGAAATGCCTAGAAAGTTTCTCACTAGATTCCAACATCCTGCCTCCAAAAAGCCAACACAGCATTGTTTAAATTTTAGAATAAATTGCTATTTCTTCTTCTTCTTCTTTTTTATTGCTGTTTCTTCTGTTGAATACCAAATGTGATCATTGGCTTGGATTAAGGGATAGGTCATCATTGGCTTGGATTAAGGGATAGGTCGGCAAGTGAAAATTTAGTTAAAATGCTCTTGGAAGAAAATCTAATTGTCCATTAACATGCGACATACATGGTTTTGTTGTGAATGCTTTACAGCAATGTGTGTGTGTGTGTGTGTGTGTAGAATCATGCTCAGTATGTAATTCCATTGAGGGATCTTATTTAAAAATTAAATTATTCTAGTGTTTTGCTGCTTAGCATACTTGGTTAATTCTATGAAGGTTCCAACTTGCTGATTCTTATTTTTCATAGTTATCTTTGTAATTGAGTTACCAATTTCTGTAACTCTCCCTTGGTCTGTGTTTTCCTTTGTCCTCATCTAATTCCTCAATTTCTTTGAGAGGGCGGATAAAGGTATCATCACACACTGGACAAGGCATTCAGTTTCTTTTTAATAGTCACGAACCCATAAAACCACTTACCTTCCACGGTTTCGGCCACCGTCACTGTCTGTTTCAGGCTTGGTTGCATCCATTGCCCAGTGGATGCTCGTATTAAGTGCAGGAGGCGTTATAATAAGCAGTCTTACTTTTTTCTCTGGATCCATGTAGATGAAACATGTGATAGTGCTCCACTGTATTTTCAAGCACCAGATCTGCTCTCCGCTTAAATCAAGCCAGGTCCAGGACGAAGGGAGCAGCAGGTTCAAGTCTCCCCTCTCATTCCAGGGCGTCTGTTGGGAGAGTGGAGTGCCTGGCCCAGACTCTTGCACTGTTTACATTTTCCCCCCTTGCATGTGGTTGAGTTAGTCCTAAGTTAGATATGTGTGCGTGGCTCTGTGTCTTTATCACACAGTGCACTCAACTTCATTTCCTTCCTTTAGCCATTATGGAATGCAGCCTGTTGTGTTACCTTCAATTTGCTTTCGTGTGTGTTATGTGCTTGTTTTGTCTCCTCAGATTGAGTATAAGGCCTGGAAGGGAGAGGTACTGACTTTGGCTTCCTTTACTTCCTCAGAATGCTGAGTGCACACTGGCTCAGGACTGAGACAAGGACAGTTTTGTCTAAGTAATTCCATAATTATCTGGAACCCTTTAGCTCCTAACCTTGAGAAATAGTGGGCCTTCAGACAAAGGGGGACAGATGCTGCCTGTGCTTGCAGCAGAACCCAGCGAGAAGAGTGTAACAGGCTTTGGAATTCAGCAGACCTGGGATCATCTGAATGGGCCTTTCACAGACACTCTCTGACCTGAACCTGTTTTCCTCATCTGTAAACCAGAATTGGTAGTGCTCACCCCATAATAATAATTAAAGCAAATACACACATGATGCTCATTATGTACCTGGTACTCTTCTAGGTCCTTTATGGGGTCTTAACTCTAAGATAGAGTCTGTTTTTAATCCTTACTTTGCAAATGAGGAAACCAAAGCACTGAGAGATTAAGCAACTTTTGCCCCAAATCACACAGCTAGGACATAGTAAAGCCAATTCAGTCCTGGCCCTCTGGCTTTAGAGTTCCTGCTCTTTGCTACTCACATTTGGTGGAACATAACAGACCCTGAAATGATAACTGTTTCTGTCATTGTTGTTATTACCTATTAATTTACCTTAAAAATTAGAAGATGATTGACCTAATGTTTAGAATGTATTTTAAGGTCCTTTTTTGGAAAAAAAAATACTAGATTTAATTCTTTGAGAAACAGTGTCTCTTTTGGCTTTATCTTTATATCACCAGCACCTCTGATTATCACAAGGCCCTGGTAGGTACTCAGTAAATGTCTGTTGTCTGAGTGAAAGAATAGGAATAATCCTAATAAACAGGAATCCTATTGTGCTTGCTATCAGTAGACTTTTGCATGTTATGACTTTGGACATGCCGCTAGGCCTCAGTCTTGTCCACTATAATTAGAAATATTGCCACAGACTTCTTGGGCATGGTTTGGGGAATTGAGATATTTTAGGTGATTGGGATTTGTAGTGCTTGTACAAAATGTTCTCATTAGTTTTTCTTTTGGTCCACTCGTTTTAAATATTTTATTTTTCCCACAGATCGCAAAATTTTCTGAGCCTAGAGATAAATGCACCCCCATTTTTTATCAAATTGTTATGGATTGGCTATCTGTTTCTTTCTCCTTATTATACTCTTTTAAAAAACAGCTATCCTTGAGAAATGGCAGAAGCAGTTTTCCGTGCCCCAAAGCGGAAAAGAAGAGTGTATGAGAGTAATGAATCTCCACTGCCCATCCCTTTTGGTCAGGACTATGGGCCAAAGCAAGACTTCAAAGTGTTCACAGCAGAGATGATAAACAACAATGTAATTGTGAGGAATGCAGAAGATATGGAGCAGCTCTATGGGAAAGTAAGTGCTGGTGGCTTTGGCATGGCTACTTCTGAAAGAACTGAGCCAGCTATCCTTTTTGCTTCCCCCCATCCACTCCAAAAAGCAAACCATCATTGACCCATATTCTTTCCTTGCCATTCAGTCCAGTGTAGGAGAGGAACTGCCCAATTTGAATCAGGTGCCCTGATGAGGAAGACTCCCCCACCATTGAACCCACGTTGCAACAATAAAGTAGGGTCAGTGCATTGGCCTTTCTTGTCTTTCAGTTATAAAAGCCATGCATGTTCATAAAAAATGTCAAGCAATTTACAGAAATGTAATGGGTAAAAAGTAAAAATTCCCCACTCCCATTCCATCTCCAGAGGTAAACACAGAGTGGCATATTGTTCTGGCTCATGGACAGATGAGGCTTAGGCATGTCCTTATCTGTGATCTCTTGTTTGGGGACCTCTTCTTAGATGAGGACAGGTTCTAGTTCTTGCTGTTTTCCGCCCATGATAGGTTCAGGTTGAGATTGGTAACTTGCTTGCTTTTTTTTTTTCTATCCATAGCCAGTTTATTACTGGAGGCATTTTTTTTTTTTAAAGTAATCTCTGCTCCCAGCGTGGGGCTCGAACTCACAACCCTGAGATCAAGAGTCACATGCTGTACCAACTGAGCCAGCCAGGTGCCCCAACTTGGGGGCATTTTTTAAATAGCTTTATTGAGGTATAATTTAGTGTCATAAAATTCACCCATTGTAAATGTGCAATTCAATGATTGTAGTAAATACACAGAGTTGTGCAACCACCATCACATTCCAGTTGTGGAGCATTCCCATCACTACAAAAAGTTCCCTTGTGCCATTGCAGTTAATTGCTGCTCCTACTCCCAGCCCATATCACCCACTGATGTACTTCCTCTCTAAATTGGGCCTTTCTAAACATTTTATGTAAAATAGATATGTTGTAGCCAGCTTCCCAAAGTGGGATACAGCAGGTGGCATTGATCCTGGTGAGATGGGGTCTAGGCCAAGGCCCTGCCTCTGCCTGTTCCATTGCCTTGAGCTTACCAAACCCAGACTGAAATCATTAGGTATAAGACACATAAGGTATACTGAAAACTTACTAGAACTCTTCATACAATCAGATATAATGCTAAGATCTTCATTAGTAATCATTAGATAATCAGAGGGAAAATGTAAAGCTAAGGAAAATAGAATGAATCTCTTGTTAACTCAAATAGTTGTTTTCCCCCAGCTAAAAAAAATTGGTAACTAAACATGAACTTTGTTTTCTCTTTTCCTGGAAGGGTTATTTTGGAAAAGGTATCCTGTCTAGAAGCCGTCCAAACTTCACAATTTCAGATCCTAAGCTCATTGCTAAGTGGAAAGGTAAATTTGTGCCTCATTCAGTTAACTTTTGGCAAATTATTTTCTTTCATCTTTGATCTTTTTTTTTTTTAATCATTTCATGAGGCCAGCTTTATCCTAACACCAAAACCAAAAACATTCCCAATTCATCTTTGATCTTAAACTTCGGATTACATAGGAAAATTCTCTGGAGAAGACGTAACATGCACAGTGGCAATTTTACTGCTAAAATTAGCAACTAGAATAATTCTAATCAAGGTGAAAGGGTTTTGATGGTTGGTGAAAATGTGTTTTATCTAATTTCTGGAGTTATCAAAAGTGTTATTCAGGTTTTTCTGTTGTTAAACATTGACTAGCAGGGTACTATGCACTGGGAAGGTACTAGTAATTAAGTACCTTTTCACCTGTATGCAAAATGAGTTTTATATTTTTTATTTCTAGGATTAGAATTTACAGCAATAACCATAACATTAATGAATTTGTTAAAACATTAACTAATGTGTGTAGTTCTTACTTGCTTGACTTGCCTTCTTTAACTTAAAAATCTTTTACTTTGTTTGTCTAAAGAAGTCTCATGGTGATTACATAACCAATGCCAGCAGATGAGAACATAATGTAAGAAAAAATACAAATTAAACCTACACTAAGATACCATTTTAGCAATCAGATTAGCAAAAATCTGAAAGTTTGACAATATTCTCCTTGGGGAGGCCCAGAAAAATACCCTTCATGTATTGCTGGGGGGAATGTAGGTGGTACTACTGTTACAGGGGGGAATTTAGCAATGTCTGGTAAAATTATATATACATTTGCTTTTTCCGCCCCCAATCCTCCTCTCCCCCTAACCCCTGGCCACCTTAATATGTTTGCTGTATCTGTGAGGTTGCCCATCCTAGATATTTCATGTAAGTGGAATCATACCTTGTGAAGCCTTTTGTGTCTTCCACTCAGGATGTTTTCAAGGTTCATCCATGTTGTAGCATGGACCAGAACTTCATCCTGGGGCGCCTGGGTGGCTCAGTCGTTGGGCATCTGCCTTCAGCTCGGGTCGTGATCCCAGGGTCCTGGGATCGAGCCCCGCATCAGGCTCCCTGCTCAGCAGGAAGCCTGCTTCTCCCTCTCCCACTCCCCCTGCTTGTGTTCCCTCTCTCGCTGTCTCTCTCTCTGTCAAATAA